CTGTTGAAAATGTATGTTTTAAAAAGAATAAATAAAAGAATAAGCTAAAAAATAAATTGTGAATTAAGGTAGAGATGCAGTTTATTTGGCTTGCTTTTTAATTGTGTAATTAGACAATGAAGATGATGTTATATATTCAACATGTTATACATTTTCTGAAAGCTTATTATACAAACTTTGTAAAACTTGTCTTCATTTTTAAATATCAAGAATGCGTTTTTGATTTTGGGTCAAAAATATGCTTTTTTAGGCAAAAGTGGTTTTAACAAATTTAGCTTAAAAACTTCAAGTCTGTTTTTGGGTAAAATTACATCACTGGATATCTTGGTATACTACTAATTCAAATGCGTCCACTCATCTCACTAACGACTTTCAAAGTCGCACAGCATGACCTCAAAGTTCATTCCTTTTTATTTTTGCATAATTTATATATCCATGTTAATTGCGGACTTGTTATTTTTGTTCCACTCGCCGTAATAAACTGTCCAGACACATTTTGAAGGGGGAGCACCTTGTCAATAATGTGTGAAAATTTCAAGGCAAATGGCCAAAGTGTCTATCAGCTATTTCAATTTAAAACCCCAGAATTCACAAAAAATTGAAGATGAGAAAAAGGCTAATTTGCATATTTGCACGTTAAAACGGGAATTACTGCCTTGTCACACTTCATCATACTTTCTAGACTATTGGAATTGAAAATTAACGTATAGACATAGACATTTGATGTAAAATCGTTGGACCAGAACAACTACTCTTGAATATATAAATCAGAAACGCGTCATTCGTACCAGCGTTTTGATGGGGTCGGTAAAAACACTTCGAAATGCCCAGTAAATATTAAGTCATCTCATGAATTATTAAACAGGGGGCGGTCCTTTGAAGGTGACCTTTTATCACCAAAACATCATGGCTTCTCTTCCATGTATTTTCAATAAAAAATCTACGAATACCGTATTTGTCTTCAGTTAAGCACCACCTTCAATTAGTGCCAATGCCACGAAACATTGTATTTTACATCTAAATTAAGCACCATTTTGGCATGTAATCATCGTGAATTGGGAGCCGTCTGATTGACTGCCAGTTACCGATTAGTAGTGATAGATGCAATCGCAGAAGTCCCTCACTGCTACTGTACGACGGGCTTTTATCCAAAAAAATTAGTTTTGTTTCTAACAAATTTTAGGAAATCTGTCTATAATCTCTTGAGACATGTTTATTTAGTCTACTGCAGAAGTATAAAATATTCGCACAGTTTTTAATTTCACAAATTTCGCGGTAAGTCCTTAAACACTAAACTAAAACTACGTGAAAATGTTCTGTTTAAAATGAGCTGTTATCACAGTAAACAATGTTACCTTATTCTTCAGATGCTCAGTTTATATTTCGAAAATAACTAATTTCTTGATTTGAAAAAAAAAAAATCATGCCGGTTTCCTGTCAAAATCGAAGCTATAAGATCGCCAACATCGGCAAATCTCTTCCATGTTGCGTTCATACATTAACATACATTATTTAAATGAGCTATGGTAATTTGATTACGTTTGCATCATCCGGCATTTTGATTGGTTAATTAACGACTTGACCTATCAGATCAAAGAACACATCTCCAGCTACAGGAAACATGGCAGATATCGTATCGCATCAAGCGTTTACATGCGACCGGAATCATTCGCTTACGGTGAAATAAAGTTGAATTTTACTTGCATTTTATTTTTTGTACGTTATTATAATCACTACTGATTAATAATCAAAAATGTGAAATGCAGCATGACCAGATCTCGCTACCGTGATCATTCACTACTAAGCAATGCATTTTTGTTTGTTTATTTTCCGTTGATCGTACGCAAGCTGTGAATGTTTTCTGAAGGATGATACTTTTTGTATAACGCCCGCACGGATGTACGTACAAAACATGTTGTTGTACTACCGGCGATGGTCGCCGGATGTTATTGTCATGCTGTAGGTGTCATAATTTTTCCTTAACCGAGCCTCGTCGTTGTTCTGTAAAACAATCAGATGTTGTCATATCGCCATCAGATTTTTGTACACAGTACAGAGCTCTGCGACTCGAGTCGCATCCACTTGAGCTGTCGTTGTCAGTGCCAGTTTCTTCATCGAAATACCAACTGAAAACTTCATCGTTGTGCTGGTCATAAAATGATCCACGGTCTAATTAGCTTCAGTTTAGCATTTGCCTCTTCTGACATAGAAATCTTCTTCATCTTCTTTCTTCCTCTCTTTTTTTTCACACCACGCATAATGTAATGATAAAAATTAGGAAAAAACACTGAGGAAATATAATGTTTGGTTTGCTAGCATGCGAGAACTTATTTGAGAATAATTGCACATGCGCGTGATTGAATGAACTATGACGAGTACAACCTCGATTTGCATACTGTCAATCAAAGGTCCTGTTATTTGCTTAAACGTGCCAAGATTTGGGACCGAGTCGGCATGTGCCGAAATGTGTATGTGAGCAGTCGGGATCGAGTCGGCATGTGCCGAAAAAAGCTTGATCTTGGTCCCGATATATGCTTGGGATCGAAACTCCTCGCGCAGAACGCTACTGCCTGAGCGCTAGGCACGAACTGAAATCACACCCGCGGAGGTGAATTTAAGAGTACATGTACTGATTCATACTAGTATGACATGACGATGGAGGGAAGTGCAGCTATATATGGTCGGATGCTGTAGTAATGAATGAAATGAATGCAAACTGTCGTCAGCGACGTATATTTATTTGCTGCTGTGACCGGTAATTTCTTGCAATGTTACATCAACGTAAAAAAAAAATTGGTTTTCGAATCTTCTTTGCCATTCATGTGAACGATGATTCATAATAAATGGATATAATTTCAATGTTACAATTATTATTATACATCTGTCACCGTAACACCATAAGTTACAGCGGCATTCCCATGATGTATCCTTGGTAGGAAAAGATGTATAATAATAAAGTATGCCGTTGTACTGTCTTCGTGCATACTTTGAGGTATCTTCGTAATAACCTTACATCATTAATCATCATATGCGTATTGTTTTCCATGTTTGGGTCAAATGACTGATCAACTCATGAGGGCCTGATTTCGGCATGAGCCGAGTAGGTTCCAAGTGGGTCCCAACTAACATGAATGTAACTGCTGTAATTCCTCTGCAAACACAAAGGATTAAAAATTTTGGCACGTGCCGAGATCCCATAGCGTGAACGTAGCAATTGTTAGCTAGAAAAAAGGAGTTAAAATGGGAGGCCATGAACGTGAGTTGCTACTTTAAATCATTAAGATACTGAAGCATTAAGTGTCTCTGCTACACCCTGTTACACCCAATGAATAGAAATCTTTCTATGCATGCCCAGAAGCATTGAGATAAGTTAACTTTTACACTGCCTTGCGCCAGAAATAAAACCAGTTAAGAAACGAAATAGACTTGAATTCAAGGTCAAATTGATTCAGCACTATGGTCAAAATATCATGTAAATATCACATGATAAAAATACTGTGCAGCTGCAGAGCATAAATCCCATGAAGAAATCTGACAACATGCTTGCTCAGTTCTAGTAGTAAACTGGCAAGTTTGTTGACATGATGAAGATCTGCAAACCATGAATTTGTGGAAAAATAGTACAACAATCACCATGATCTCTTGTATACAAAATATACATGCATTTCTAGGAATGCAGAACATGTTGTATGGTCCATGATCACAAGTGCTGGTATTGGACCTGGCGCAGCAACATTAATAGTCATATCTGAAATGAACATGTGAGCAAGACTTGATGCTGTGTATAAGATTTCAGCCAAGACAGCAACCATAACTTTGGCTTACATATAGGAAAGGATAATGATCAAGTTGGCTTCCAATATCTGAACTGGAAATACAAAATGCAATCAGCAAACTAAAAAGTGGTATATCTCAAGGATCTGATTGTGTAAGAAATGATAAGTAGACATACACTAATAAAACCTCTACAAAAATTATTCAATCAGTAGTGGTTTCTATCCAAGATCCTGGAATCTCGGCATTATCACACCTATTTAAAAAGGGTGATATCACTGACCCTGGTGACTAGAGGAATCACTCTTTTCAATTCTCTCAGAAAACTATTTACCTCCATCCTAAAACAAAAATTAACTACATATTTACAAATATTACTACAGCACTCGAAATAAACTTCAGAATAAACAGTAGGAGTTCTCTAAACAATGACAATAATGGTATTACCGGTAACCACAGAAATAAACTTGTACTTACAAAAAATTTAGAACTGAATTTTGACTTATTTTATTAAAACTTATTTGAAATTATTTGATGACAGTAAATAACCCACTACACAGATCATCAATGACCAAACTAATGTTTGACAAATTGAAATGGGCAGATACCATAAAATTAACATTACTGAAAGAAGCTGTATGGTACGCGATACTGATATTGAAGATGAAGAGCACTTTTTATTGAAATGTCAGCTATAGAAAAACTGGAAGACAGATCCTTCTCAACGCAATTAGACAGTTTTTTGAGGGCAACACTGATACAAGCTTTATTATTATTAATGTACAAAGAATATGGTCATGCTATAATGTCTAGCAAAATAAATATATGAATGAGAAAGAACGTTAAAAAAAAAACGGCAGGTTCACAGAAATCTAATTAAGTAATCCTTACATTTACTTTATAAAAATGCATTTCTAACCCATTTTCAGGCATGTTTGTTTTTTTGTTTTTGTTTTTTTCTCCTAGTGTATGTTTTTTCCCCCTCTGTTTTGTCATAGAATGACAAATCATGCTTTATTGTACTTTTGATCTATGTCAATTTTTTGGAAATGACTCCAATAGAGGCTATCATTATTATTATTACACACTTAACTATAATTTAACTCCCATGTGTAAACTTTTAAGTCATCTCAATGATTTTGATATTATTGGAAATGTTTGAGGGCAATACAGCTATTTTTAAATTAATGTTCATGATATCAATATTTGATTATTTATTTTCACAGTATCAGCTCTTGTTATGGATACTGAATTTGCCCATCAACTAGAACAAGAACAAATTAGTGCTGTAAAGCAAGAAACTTCAGATGCTTACACGTACACAGATCCCAATGATGGTACAGTGTATGAATGGGATGATGGTAAACAAGCATGGTTTCCTAAAGTGAGTATATCACCATTGTTGTGTGTATGAATGAGATGATAGTAAACAAGCATGGTTTCCTAAAGTGAGTATATCACCATTGTTGTGTGTATGAATGAGATGATAGTAAACAAGCATGGTTTCCTAAAGTGAGTATATCACCATTGTTGTGTGTATGAATGAGATGATAGTAAACAAGCATGGTTTCCTAAAGTGAGTATATCACCAATGTTGTGTGTATGAATGAGATGATAGTAAACAAGCATGGTTTCCTAAAGTGAATATATCACCATTGTTGTGTGTATATAGCAATACATTTATAAAACATAATATTAATCTACATTTGTACTTAGATAGATGATGATTTCATAGCACAGTACCAAGCCAACTATGGAGCACATGAATTGGTGGTTGGAGAAAGTAAACAGTCTGCCAGTAACCCTACAAAGGTTGAACAGTCGCCATGTTTTGCTACAACATCTGATTCAAAAATTATGGAATCACAAAAAGCACACAAAAGAAAAGCAGATGAAGGTATATGTGACATTAAATGTGTTGGTTGACTACATATTGTCTACTTTTTGAATGTGTCCAAAACAGTTTCTCAGATGTATATTTACTGATAGCAACACTTATTGGGTAGTGATATATGATTTTAAATGTCAAGTACACTAAATTATTGATGATTTACAATTAATTGTTCAGGATGGTTTGAAATGGAAGAAAAGAAAAATCGTAATGTTTATGTGACTGGATTGCCGTATGATACAACATTACAAGAGTTTCAAGATTTGATGTCAAAGTGTGGAATTATTATGGTAGATGAACAGACAAATGAACCCAAAATAAAACTCTACCTTGATGAAATTGGCAATCTGAAAGGTGATGGTAGATGCTGTTATTTAAAGGTAATCTTGACTCACTTTTATGGCAACAGCTTTCCCTTTCTGTTGACTGTTTTATGGCAATTCATACATCTCTACAATGTAGTCTGCTTTATTAATCACAGTTCAGGAGTAGATTGAAAAGGAAATAATGTTCTTGAGTATTCTAAATGAATCTTCATCATGATTTGTTATTTTTGATCACCTCTTCCCAAATCCATTAATTCCTGCCCCCAGAACACAATTACCTCTTGCTAATCCTACCTCTCTAATTATTTGTTGGTGGGCCCAATTGCTGAGTAGTATATGCAAGGAAGGCAGAGGTAATCCTACCTCTCTAATTATTTGTTGGTGGGCCCAATTGCTGAGTATTATATGCAAGGTAGGCAGAGGTAATCCTACCTCTCTAATTATTTGTTGGTGGGCCCAATTGCTGAGTAGTATATGCAAGGTAGGCAGAGGTAATCCTACCTCTCTAATTATTTGTTGGTGGGCCCAATTGCTGAGTAGTATATGCAAGGTAGGCAGAGGTAATCCTACCTCTCTAATTATTTGTTGGTGGGCCCAATTGCTGAGTAGTATATGCAAGGTAGGCAGAGGTAATCCTACCTCTCTAATTATTTGTTGGTGGGCCCAATTGCTGAGTAGTATATGCAAGGTAGGCAGAGGTAATCCTACCTCTCTAATTATTTGTTGGTGGGCCCAATTGCTGAGTAGTATATGCAAGGAAGGCAGAGGTAATCCTACCTCTCTAATTATTTGTTGGTGGGCCCAATTGCTGAGTAGTATATGCAAGGAAGGCAGAGGTAATCCTACCTCTCTAATTATTTGTTGGTGGGCCCAATTGCTGAGTAGTATATGCAAGGTAGGCAGAGGAGCAGAATGGAAAAGATGGCTTGGACACAGACAATTTGTTATGCCACATACAATTTATTTTTTATTTTGGGTTATTTCGTAAAATGCAGGATTGGTACTGCAAAACATATTTTTACATCAACCTTCGACACACTGACTTTAATTAATCCCCAGTTTAGTTTAATATCTTGTGATTGGGACTGTGTCAGGTCAATAAGAATGTGTTTTTGTTTTCAGAGAGAGTCTGTAGATCTTGCTCTCCAAATTCTTGATGGTTATGACATGCGGGGTCATAGAATAACTGTTGAATTAGCCCAATTTCAACTCAAAGGCCGTTTTGATCCATCAAAGAAGAAAAAGACTAAGAAAAAGAAAAAGAAAAAAAATTCACAAGAAAAGTAAGTTTTTTAATACTCGTGTCAGTATACAGTACTGGTGTCACATAGACTTATTTGACTTCTGATTTGATTCAGGTTCGCATGAACAAAAGTATGGGTTTGCTGCAATGTGGCATCAGCATCATTTCTGTTTGTGTTCGCATAGCTTCACTTCAGCAATATTTCAGTGTCATTATACACTGAAGTTTTGTGCTCAAAATGGTGTTTTAATGGTGAAGCTTGAAGATACAAGTATTTTATTCTGTGTGTGTTTATTTCTAGAAAACTAGATAGAGTTGATTTTGAACGCTGTTCGAAATATTGTTTGGGAAATAATTTGAGAACATAACTTGAACTGTGAGAACATAACTTGGATTGATTTCTGTTATGAATCAGGGCATAATGGGCAGGAAATGTAAACTGTGCTAAGAACACAACGTCTGTCGAGTAAAACCTAACTGCTTCACAATTGCAGAATTTACCGTAGTTATGCTTGATAACAGTTTTAGGTATTTGACTATACATCTGTAGAGAGTGTGCTCATGAAAATATAACACTGTTATGAGTTGTTTACATACATGTATAAATAATTTGTTCAGCTTCAGAAAAATACATATGCATGGTCAGTATTAATATAATTTTGGGCTGGTCGCTTGAATTTTTACACTTCACCTTTATAACTTGCACTTATAAAATTGTTATCATTTACCTTATTTTGCAACAACTTGATCAAATAAATTTTACTTACTAATTTGTCACGATTTGCCTGACTGTTTTGAAAGTGCAATTGTACATTGTTTTCAAACAGAGGTCAGACTGTCGATTTGCATCAAATATGTGCTTTTACAGCATAAGAACATAATAATAACAGCTACAAACAGGACATGCTAGAATTTTAGATTGGGACTCATTATTTATTGCACACATTGTGATTGTCATGGTGACAAAAAGTGTGTATACTGTTCAACATCATAAACTAAAATTGTATTGAAATACAAGATACATTTGTTCCACAGTGTTTTATGCTGTATCAGATCAATCTAGATATGATATGATATACCAGAATATATTTATGCTATATCAGATCAATCTAGATATGATACGATATACCGTAATATATTTATGCTATATCAGATCAATCTAGATATGATACAATATACCGGAATATATTTATGCTATATCAGATCAATCTAGAAATTATACGATATACCGGAATATATTCATGCTATATCAGATCAATCTAGAAATTATACGATATACCGGAATATATTCATGCTATATCAGATCAATCTAGATATGATACGATATACCGGAATATATTTTCTAGGTTGCTTGAATGGAGACCTGAAAGAACTAAAATGATGGGAGAATCCAGAAAGAGACATGAATGTGTTGTTATACTCAGGCATATGTTTGAACCAAAGGAGTTTGAGGTTAGTTTACTTCCATGTGTCCCTTAATATTGGGCAAGTACCGGTAATCACATCAGGTCAAGTTTATTTCACACCAGGTTGGTAATATATCCTGTTCTTGTTTGCTATGTATCTTTCCTTTGATTATTTGTGATTTCACCGCCACCCCACCCCCCATGAGTTCGTATTTCAGACCTCATAAGAAGCCAAAGAGGGCTAATAATTTTGATTCTATCCTTAACACACACAGACAAATGTGTATGTGAATTTTGATTCATCTGCATCAAGTGGGTGTTTTGGGCAAAAAATTATCAGCATCGCACTGTTGGAAGAAAACAGTAGAATGGTTAAATACAAACACCTAAGGCACTAGACAAAAGTTAGGCTATATACCCCAGTAACCACTAAAACCTCTAGAACAAAGTTAGGCAATGTAACCACCAAGCAACAAGGACAAAGTTAGGCAATGTAACCTCAAAAACCACTAAAACAAAGTTAGGCAATACACAAACAGCGCTACACGAACAAAGTTAGGCAATCTACAATCAATGCTACAAGAACAAAGTTAGGCAATGTTGTTTGTCCAAAATGTCATGTGAGTTGGGCATTCACATTCCTATCTTGTTTGCAATGCTGCTAATGTGACCTTGTGAGTAATTTTGTATCCTATTACAACTGTGCACTGTGTTGGCCATCAATTCAAACAAGTTTTATTTTATTCCATAATAATAATTTCACTTTTTGTTACCTTTCAAAAAATAAAAACACATAATGCGTTTCCAAAATATTTACCCAGACCTGAAACAAATAGTAAATTATGCCAATTTTGTATAAAAAAAACAATGAATAAATGTGCAAAATGTTTTACTAAAATATTGGTGGGAAATATTATAGTGTCCAAAGGTTTGAAGTGATTTGTCTTGAGGTAATTGTATTTATCAGTGTTTATCATTGATTATATTAATGAATGAAAATATACTGTAATGTTTATGTACAATATTTTTTTTCCAATAAAATAGTAATACAAACTGAAAATCTGATAATATTTAAATTGACAGATTCTGTGAGTCAATTGTTTTTGATTGGCAATTGAAGACTCCATTGAATTGATAAGCCTGTTTGTATTATTGTTCCTAATTAATTTGTAAGATTGCCATATATCACTGCTATATCTATATTATATCACTGCTATATATATGGCCGTATATCACTGCTATATATTGCCATATATCACTGCTATATATTGCCATATATCACTGCTATATATGGCCATATATCACTGTTATATATTGCCATATATCACTGCTATATATGGCCATATATCACTGCTATATATGGCCATATATCACTGATATATATTGCCATATATCACTGCTATATATATGGCCATATATCACTGATATATATTGCCATATATCACTGCTATATCTATATAATATCACTGCTATATCTATATAATATCACTGCTATATATATGGCCATATATCACTACTATAAATTGCCATATATCACTGCTATATATTGCCATATATCACTGCTAAATCTATATTATATCACTGCTATATCTATATTATATCACTGCTATATCTATATTATATCACTGCTATATATTGCCATATATCACTGCTATATATTGCCATATATCACTGCTATATATTGCCATATATCACTGCCATATATTGTATTATATCACTGCTATATATATGGCCATATATCACTGCTATATATTGCCATATATCACTGCTATATATTGTTGTACATCACTGCTATATGTTGTCGTATTTTATCGCTACAATTGCCCAGATTTTCATCACAAATTCTCTCAAACTATCCTTCCAACAGTGCAATGTACATTTCAGGAATAATTGCTACTTGTAATGGTGATGATATGTTATGCATAGTTGCAGTGACCACCAGGTGTAGTCTGTGTTTGTGTTTTGCATGACCACAAGCATACCATCATACTTTGAAAGAATGTCTTTAGTCACAATAATACAAACATACAAATGTAGTTTAGTTATAGCTGTATGAACACAATGTGTCTGCAGTTTTACACATGTACTTGTACATTCACCAAATACAAATAAGTTCAGTTATAGCTGTATGTCTGCAGTTTTACACATGTACTTGTACATTCACCAAATACAGATAAGTTCAGTTATAGCTGTATGTCTGCAGTTTTACACATGTACTTGTACATTCACCAAATACAGATAAGTTCAGTTATAGCTGTATGTCTGCAGTTTTACACATGTACTTGTACATTCACCAAATACAGATAAGTTTAGTTATAGCTGTATGTCTGCAGTACATTCACCAAAAACAGACATCTGTGACGTAGTTTATAATTCCCCAAATGCATTGGACACATTACATAATACATTTCATAATTATATATTCTATATATAAAATATGTTTTGAAATGCAGTTCCTCACCCCTTGGCTATTTTCGCCGATTTTTCGTTGCCGGAGCGATTCACATTCCAAATTTTGGTTCTCTGAGTGTCTCTAATAAATACCCTATCTAACTGCTGGACTGAATTAGCTATTTAATGAAAAGATTCATAGAAGATTGGACAAAAATCGGTCGTTTTTGGCCTCTAAGTTTTTTGCTCGGAAACGCAAGGGCGATAAGACTAAATTTTCAAGAACGCAGGTTGCTCGGATCAGGCGGTTTCTATTGTTTCGAGTCTGTTGTGTGTCTAGAAACATAACAACTTTGTTTTTTGGTGGATATAGAACATGCTCTGTTTCAATAAAGGATTTTGATATGCAAATGGGGCAATTGTAATAGTTCCTTATTGTAACGTCTCCCATATAAATAGTCCTGTACTCCCCAGAATTTGACAATGGTACTAGCCCAGAATGGATTTCTTTATCATCGTGTTTTTGATTGTAGCAATGTTTACGCCATTGTACGAAAATACGCACACTCGCGAATTTGACAACATTCACTTGAGCGTTTTAGGATAGTGGGAATAGAAGCAAATAGATGGAAATGCCAGTTACTCACTCATGAAGATTGATGATTCGATTGCTAGCCGGGATAGATGTATTTAGTGTTCATTTTTATGCAATATGTCTACACCTGCGATTCTCAATTTCGATGTGTAAAATCATTTCGATGCTGTGGATAGCGACGACTGACAGATTATTTTGGTTCTATGTCTCTCTTTGCATGGGCAACTGATTTTTAGGTTTTTGTTTTTTTAATATTCTGACGTTTACTAGGTCGTATTTTGTATATACCACACAGACACTGACAACAAGTAAGTAAACGGGCCGGACCATAGTCAACATGGGACCCTGAAGGCCCCGGAGAAAGCGTCATCGTACAACATAATAATGAACGAAATAAACATTACAATCTCCGATATTTATGCTGGATAACAAAGTATACAAGTACTGTCTATGATATACTGCAAAATGGAAATAATATACCTATTTAACCGTTGTTGATTTTTGTACAAAATTCCTAGAACACAAAAGAAACAACAATCAACAAAACAAAAACACTACACAGTCACTGTAGCCACACCAGTAAGAAAAAGATACTGTGGAACTCATTGCAAATGTAAATACAAAATAAATGTCAGTGACTGCAATATTTATTAATTTGCAGCCTCAAAACCGTTAGTTGTGAACTGAACTTCAAATCTCATTAGGATTTCCACATGAAGTTACAACAGATAGAAAAAAAAAGCAATATTAAGACAAGAAAAAATAATGCTTTTTTGTCAAGGCTATATACTAAATTCTCTTATTTGGGGGTATTTTTGTGAGTATACATGTATGCATTGAAATTATCAAAACCTAAAATGTAATCATAGTACAAAATGAATGTAAAGTAAACAAAATTATCGAGTGATTTTGGATTTGTTTGGAAAAGTAGCCGAAATGCTGTGACATTGTCTAATTGGTGATGGGAATTGCCAAGCCAGTTTATAAAACAAGTTGGTAGGCTGGTTGGGGATCCGCTCCGCTCAAAAACAAGCAACATGTTTTCGGCTGTTGCCATGGTAGGACATGAACGTGAAGCTAACTAACTAAAACCGGGCCCGTATACGAAGTTCGCAAAAAAACATTCAGTCTTTAGAAATCACTTTATTTTATTGCAAGGATGTATTCTGCTGTTAAGTTTATTTTTCCAACCGTTTTGTGATAGTATTTTCTGGATTGAAGGCAGCATTTACAGTTCATTCATAGTTCAAAGTTGCATTGGGATTATGTTGATACAGTGTAACAACAGTGTAAGTTAAAATCAAGCCTTAATTATTATAGAAAATTCAAAACTAGCTTGAAAAGTGAGAAATATCTTCAGTCAATAAATAACTTTAAAGGAGCACAGCAAAAATTCAGAGAAAGATCATGTACTCTTGGGTTAGCATATGAAAAAAGAAAATGGGAAAATAATAGTGAAGATGACATAATTTGTCCATGTTGTGAAAAAGACGAAGAAACTCTTGAACATTTTATTTTGCAATGTTCAAGTTTTAAAATAAAAAGGGACAACTTAATGTGTAAAATAAAATAAATGTTATTGAAGATGAAAGAAACAAATTTATCTGATAACTTCAAGCAATTGAATAACGAAGAGTTATTATGCTTTCTTCTGGGAGATACCACTCGAGGTTATAACAAAGAAATATGTTACATCGAAGACAAACTTATGAAAGAATTTTTAGTTGATGCCATAGACTTTTACACTAATAAGTAGATTTGATGTTCTTTTTATCAACAAAATCACAGAAGAGTTAATACGTGAAAACACTGAAAAATCACACACACACAAAAGTGATTTTAAGGGCAATGCTAGCGGGGCGGATCGCCAATAATAATTTTTGTAAATATTACTGACCGCAAAAGAGGCTCATCGTGAAGTGTCTTGTTTAATATGTATAATATGTTAAATTTTGAAAACATGTAACTTGTGTTCTCAAACTAGGGTGATATCTTTCAGAGTTTTAAGCAGAATTCAGATGATAAAGTACTGGCTCAATTCCTAAAGAAGTAAAAAATTG